TAACAGAAGGCTGGTGTAAACAGAAGGTTGATGTAAAGAGAAGAATGCTAATAACAGAAGGCTGGTGTAAACAGAAGGTTGATGTAAAGAGAAGAATGTTAATAACACAAGGCTGGTGTAAACAGAAGGTTGATGTAAAGAGAAGAATGTTAATAACAGAAGGCTGGTGTAAAGAGAAGGGTGATGTAAAGCAAAGAATGATGTAAACAGAAAGGTGTCAAGGAATATATAGGGTGATTTCAACATAAGGGTGTCATCCAAACAGAATGGTGTTACGTAAATCATAGGGTGTCATGTAAACAGACCATATTAATTGGAATTCATGGCTGTTATTTTTCTTCTATTTGCTACAATTGCATTTTTTAACATAAACATTTACAATTAACCTTTCATTTACCAGGACTCTTGAATTTGAGGCCCTCCTAAATATTCCTTCTCCATCCATAAGAAATGTTGGTCTTACATAATGCATTAACAGACGGTGCTTAAATCAAGCACCGAGGACTTGGGAAATGATTGTTGGTTTTAACTATTTGAGAATCTCGCGCCCCATTGGTTTATTACTTGTCTATTTCAACTCTTCCACACTTTAAAAAAAGTCACCCGCACAAGTCATCAGTCATCCAACTACTGAAAGTGGCACTAAAGGCCTTCAGCATAAACCCTACTCAATGGGTGCGGACAGCCCAGGACAGAACCAGCTGGAGAGCTGCTGTCAAGAAGGGGGCTAAATCCCATGAAGCTAATAGAATAACCACAGCTGAGACACGCAGGCTTGTCCGAAAGAGCAACATTAGGTCATCGTCTGAAGCAACTATTCCATGCCCACGGTGTCATAGATTATTCCGAGCAAGGATCGGTCTAACAAGCCACCTAAGAGCTCACCGTAATCCCAACCCCCCGCCCGCCCCTAACCGGATGATTCGATGGTCCTTGTCGACTTGGACGGACGAACAACAACAACAACAACAACTTGTCTATTTGACCACATAGGGATTATCACATGACCACATGTTATCCAGCGGCGTGGACGGAGGCTGTGTAGGAACCAGCTTATAATCCTAAAAAGAATAATCCCAGACCTTGAGGATTTCGACCTGCTAAGTCTACACCATCATCACACTGTGACGGATGGATGCCAGCAAAAAAAAAAGAAAAAAGAATACACCTGTACAATTGGTGTGACTCATTCCTTTCGATAACATTACAATATTTAGTGTGTGTGGGATTAATCATAAGGAATGGGATCAGTGAAACGGGTCGGAGCTCATATGGACTCTTGGGAATCTTTAATTTTTAAACCTCCCACCCCCCCATAGGGTGCCTGAAGCAGCATCTCCGACATGTTTCACCCTAGTGGTGAGCCAACCCACTACCCATAAATGACAAAAGAGTAGCTTCCTTTAAATTTTAAAATTACTTAGTAAGAGGGAATTAAGGCAAAAGGTAATCCTATGTTTTTGCCAATGCAGATTGGGGAGGGGGGGGCATGTTGGGTCATATTCACTGGTATATTCTTGCGTAGGTTTCGTCATAGCTTTCAACCACTAATAGATAATCATAGTAATGTAAATTCTATAGTTCTACCAGGGACTCCAGATCAACAGAGATTAGTGTTGTTTGACAGCACATTCCCAACATGACATGGTTTAGATTGTGTCAAATGTTTGACAGTATATGCCAGCGGTGATGTGGTTTCAATTAAGTCATTAGTGATATGGTATACATTATTGCCACTGCCCTAATGCTGTTTTAAAGGGTACATTTTTAAAGAAATATAAAATGGATTATGTTGTTGTTTGACAGTGTGCATAACAACAGTGACAGTTTGACCTGGCCTGAGATCTACAAAGCCTAGAAATATTGTTAACAATAACAGCTTACCTTGACCTCCGATAGCTTCTGCCTTCCATGCCTGCATATTGTCTAGTATGGTTTTAGTTAGCAAATCTCTCAGGTTCTTGTGGAATCCATCTGTTGAAAGTAGATGAAGCAAAACTGAGCATAAATCTATACATAAACTTGCACAAAGAATGCTACCGACTATTCGATTCAACTAGATAAACGCAGGTGTGTAAATTTCAACAGAGCAATATTTTTTAATCAAGTCAAGAACTAAAAATAAGTACTTATAAAATAAAGGAATTATTTTTGTATTATTATTATTTTTTTTTGAGTACAACTTTTTATTTAAACAAAACATGAAGAAACAACAAATTTACTTGAAATTTATTTTTCAAAGGGACAGTTAATTTATTAGAGAATTCATTAAAATTTTGATGATAAAATGCATTCCAAAACCCAAGATGGGAATCAAACTTTTGCCCTTCAAGCAAGGCAAAAGGATTGTGGTTAAAAACTTACATAATTATAGAGGTGGAAACTTACAGACAGATCTGGGGCATCCCAAAGTTAAATGAAAGGTTTTAAAACCCCCCTCTATATGACTCAGAATAAAAGAGGAATATTAGTTAAAATGGGACTTGTTCTCAAGAACAGCACTTACTGGGGAAAAGGTTGAAAATTGCTTGCGGGTCAGTTGAGCCTTGAAAGACAGCTGCTTTTAGCAAGTGACTCAGGGTGTGTATGCACTAAAGACAATGAGACACATAATCCAAATTAAAGACCTCTATACGTCAATCAGCAAAAAGTAAATCAATTATATGAGGAATTAAAAATGACCTTAAAGTATAGATATGCAATTTATAATTTTAATCAGCAAATGTTAAAAATGCATTTGGGGAAGGGGTGGAAAAAAAAAAGGGGGGGGGGGGGATTTTGCACAATACATTAAATTTAAAATGTATAAAAACTTAGTTAAAAATATTCCATTGAGGTATTAAACAGACGCCAGATAAAAGCTTTAATAATCTCCTCTCTAAAACAGGTAAGTAACAGCTAAAATATTTTTTTACAAAGTAGTGTTCAGAAACTATCAAATAAAATAGCTAAGAAAGTACTAATTCTATGGAGCTCTAAATACACTGGATTAGCTTAGTCTCAAATATCACTTGAATATGAGTCATATGCTCACAGCTCATACCCTATTAAATGTAACTAGTCAGTGCATGTTTTATATTCTCACTAAATGTCATTTGTGTATGTCTCCTTTGTCAAGATAATGCTGAGAAAAGACAATCTCAAGCTAACCTGTCTTGCGTCGAGAGCTGATGTCCCCAACATTTGGGTAACAGACTGCACAAGAGTATCAGGGATATGAGCTGGACTTTTCTTTCTAAACAAAAATGCTTGTTGACAGAGCTCAACCATTTGCTGCTTTGAAGACAACTGAAATGAAATTTTAGCAAAAGTTATTTTCTGACTCAAGTCAGTTAAGAATAATAAGCAGTGGTGACAATTGGATTATGTTATGTGCCATCTATGATTAAAATCAGGCATAGAATCAGGGGCAACATCTTTCTTAAATGTGTGACAAAGGGTGTCCAAATTCTTTAAAAAATGTATGATGATGAGGGAGGTAAATAAATTTGTGACGCATTTACAGATTGGCCCTTAGGCTAAATGTAAGACTTTCTGCTTTTTTCACAGTGCTTCTAAAAAATTAAAATGGGCACAAATACTAGTAAATACTAGTAATATGGATACAAACTAAAGGAACTCCAAACTAACTGCTTCAGATGGTTGGATAAACATAAGGTTTGTAACTAGGACCCTTGTAATAATTCTGTTGGTTATTACTACTTTGATATTTTAAAATATTTTCTTGAAAGAAAAGTTTCAACGTTTTCTTTACATTTTATTTTTAAAGGTATTGTTCATGGCACACCGCAGAACCACGGTCCCAAATTAAAGACATAATATTTTTCGTTAGAAAATGTCCTTTTATAGAAAAATATTCAATCTTTATTTTTGGACCATCTTTCTGAGGAGTGCCTTGTTCATAACAGGAAAACCAAACTGCCAAGGGCCAAAGCCAAATTAAAATTCATTTTCTAAAATTAATTTGTAATATTTATATTTTATATAATTTTTACTATCTAGTATTTAGCCTAAATTTTAGGCAATAAGGACAGACTAAGTAAGTCCGGTCATTGAGAACTATTTACATTTTATAGATTTGATTTTAAGCCTAGGCCAAGCTTTGATTACTTCGAAGTCTAGGCCTAAATGGCAGATTTAAATAAAAAAAAAAGAGGATTAGAGAGTAATGTCACCAATTGAATTTGTCTTTTACACTGTAATTGTGTTGGTGATTGGACACTACTACTAGTTTATGAATGGCTATGGCATCTACTGACACTGACAGACTGTCTATTCCCTGACTGACAGTTAACTTACCCACTAAGTATAAGTAAGCCCATTAGTCATTAGACTTTAGTAGACTACCATATGAATTATGAGTATATGAAATTAACTATTTGAAACTGAGCATATTTGTTTTTTAGTACTAGTTGGCTAGCCCCCACTAATCTTAATAATCTTAGTTGGACTTTAAAAACAAAACTCGGGCAGTCAAGTCATGAGTTCAGTTAGTAATGAAAGTGGAATGCTACTACTACTACTACTGAAAGTAGTGAATGGCCTAGTCTGAAGCAACCATTAAATTATGTTCTGTTTCAAAAATGTGAGAATTTGCACTTTAAAAAATTCAATATGACTTGGATTTTCAATGATATACAACCTTTGTAAGTATTTCCAAATCAGAGTAATTAATCTTCATGTTTTAATGCTGTGTGTGAGAATTTTTATTGCATATGTGGGCGTCGTCCTTTCCGAAAATGAAAGTACAATAAAGTTACTTCCTGTTTCCGTTAACGTCTACCATCTGGCCTCGTCGTTATCACGCGAGGTCAAACGTGAATGGAATTTTCCATCAAAATTGGGTCACCTCTTAAATATTTGCTCCGCTTCCTTTTTTAAATATACGCACTAGTAAGGTGGGGAACAAACTATTTTTAAATTATGCGTTCAAAATTGAAATTAATCGGAATTAATGAAAATGTTTGATTGAAAAATAATATTTTAATGTTATAATTTGTTAGAAAATTTAATACATTGGAGTTAACTGTTGAATACCATAAAACTAGGCCCTTGAAAATGCTAATGAACCAAGGCTTGCGCACTGCGCATGCGCACTGCCTACTTGCTGAAATCACCCAATAAAATCATAGTTTTAGGTCATGTGACTATACGCGGAAAAGAAAATTCTGCGCGCGAAGTTAATCTAGGCGAAGCCTGCGGCAACGTTTCGTTCGCATCTTGTCCTTTGTTGAAGAAGGAGTAGCAGCATTTCTCTTGACATCGGCCATTGGAAAAATTATACCACAATGCCAGGAACGAAGTAAGTTAAAGTGTTTATACCTATTTTTAGTCAAAGTTTTAATCTCTAAAAAATTATATATATGTGTTGCTAGTTGCTGTTTCAAGTGTGTAGCTAAAGTAAAACACGCACGTATTATTTTCTAACCGATTACCACTATTTATACGACTGTAATTGCTTTTTTAAAGGAAAGTATGGTAAACAGTAACAGCTCAATCTTCATTTTTTTTTTATCACATCAAATTCTCACAATCATGAATTTAAATAATAAATGAGGCAACGTTTTATCTACTCATTGTCTCGTCAGCACTCATTTTGTAATGAAGTGAATATTAAATTTCGATAGAGGGGGTGTTAGGTAAAGTTGACGTCTGCTACGAACTAGTAGTGCTGGCCAGTAGTCTTAATTTACGTAGTAATTAGCTAGACTGTCAGATGGATTAGCCTTTATGCCAGCAATGAACAATATTCAACTATTTATGAAATGGGATATTTACAAATTTGCCTAATGAAAGACTTAAATATTAATTTGATTTGGGAGGGGGGTAGTTTTTGCAATGAGACCTTTACTTTAGTTACTTAAAATTGTGTCATTATTTTACTCAAGTAAATTATTGGTATAGGCCCTAACTTTTACAAAGTTAGAAATATAATTTTGGTTTTGCTCAATTATAACTTAATATAATTCAGAAATTGTCCTATTTTTGGAATTTTTGTAGTTAATGTTACCCCACGCTGTCATGGGTGCAGATCTTTCTTTTAAATCTTACCCCGCCACAGCCAGTGGTGTGTGTAGGTCTTTTTACTGTTAACCAGGATGGGTAATAGTAATGTAATTGTAAAAAGTTCTTGCCAGTTTTACCTTTTTCAGTTGGGGCTTTTAGTTTTATAATAGTTTTAGTTTTGTCACCATTGGTTGGCTTGTAATAAGTAATGCCATTGATTGAGTTATGACCTAACCATTAGGCTTGGGTTTAAATACATTAAATTTTTTATTGGACTGCCTCTCATGCTAGTTTTCTCTGAGTAAATTTGGATAGGGTAACATAAATATTTTTCTTTGATTGAAGTTTGAAGTGTAAGATTTACAGATGACTGGTCTGGGGAGGGGGGGGGAGGTAATACTACCACACATCACAGCCTCCCAATCGCTGGCTTTAGCCTTTTTGATTTAGTTCCATTAAGTTCATAAAGTTAAAGCTAAAGCTAAAGACTATCAAAATATGAAACAGGAAATTGCAAGCAATTCAATAGAAACTAGAAACCGTGTAGCCTACATTTTAAGAAATAATTGTTAAATTGCTAAGACTATAAGACTCAAGACTAAGAACACAGGGTATTTTGTAGCTTTTTAGGATGTTTTGGTTTATTTGGATTAATTCATGCTATTTTTTAAAGTACAAGTCTAAGTTAATATTCTTTCAGTTTTTTGATTACCAGATTTTCGAAGACATGGCTAGCTACACTATAGTATTTATGTAATAAAATTCAACATAGTTTAAGTCATAGTCCCATGCCTTCTGAATGTCTGGTCCAGCTTCTTTCATTTGTCTTGCTGTCAGGGTGCCAGTTAATTTCAAGTATTTTTTATCCTACACCCATTTTCACATAAATTGTAAAAAGCTACTAGTATAGTTACCTTAGTTATTCTTTGTGGTTGTTTGGATTTTGTTTAACATTGACTTTCATATGTTTTTTGGAATGCTTATCATTCATTTCCTGTAGGCTTATGCTTTTGTCTGTAGTTAAAATGAAATTTAAACTGGTTTCTCTAATTTAAAAAAAAAAAAAAAAACTAATTTAATAGTTGTTTGTTTATTTTGATTTTTGGATGTTGTTAAAAAAATAGTATGAGATAGGCATTTCTACATTATTCCTTATCAATATTGGTAGGGTATTTCCCTAATTGTTCTTTTTGGTGTATCCCTTATTTACACAGTTGTCTGACTAAATTTATTTTGCCTTGACATGTTTTAAAGTTTTCTTTGTAAAAGTATAAGATGGTGGTTCTGGTGAGTTGATCATTTCTTACAAATACTTTCAGTTTTCTTGAAGCCAGAAGGTTGGGGGGGGGGGTTAATTGCAATGTCATGTAATTTATATAATCTCATTTTTTTTTTAGTTTTTGCCTTCATGAGTCGTTACATAGGTAAGGGGAGGTTGGGGTCTAGTCACAAAATCATTCAATCAATTTCTTATAAATACTTTCAGTTTTCTTGAAGCCAGAAGGTTGGGGGGGGGGGGTTAATTGCAATGTCATGTAATTTATATAATCTCATTTTTTTTTTAGTTTTTGCCATCATGAGTCGTTACATAGGTAAAGGGAGGTTGTGGTCTAGTCACAAAATCATTCAATCAAGTTTTCAATATTTTTAATAGTAGTTATGATGTAGTTAATTAAAAGTTCAAAGTTGTCTTACTTATATCAATGATTATCAACATGACCTGCTGACTAGTATTGTTTAAGTTTTATTGTGATTAGTGCCCATCAGTTGCAATCCCCTTTTATAAGTTCATTTCAAACCCACTATCGATTTTGAATTGATACTTTTTGTTTCATAGTTGTAATGTGTGTGATCTGCTAGTATTACAGACCTGTTTACCATCAAGCTCTTAAAAATCCTACAATATCATCCCAAAATGGATCAATATGTTAGATTTATTGTAAAAATTAAACATATAGTAAATACAATCTACACCTCAAAATCATTAATTGCACGCCAAGATTATAGGAGTAAACAGGTCTGGTATTATTTGATGCTCTTTAGTAACATGTTTCCATGTTCACTTGGGGCATTATTTCTCCCTATAGAATTGTGAATTTCAATTATTTGACTATAAATTATAATATGAAATCTCAGTTTCGAAAGTTATGATTAAACAAAGAAGTTGCCAATTAGAATATTGCTTTAGAATTTTTTGCCCATATCAATGTCCTGCGTTTTTATGTTTAAACTAAGATGTATCCAAACAGTTCAACAGTTCTTTTGTTCTAATATTGGTTGTAGAGATCTCATTTATAAAACCTTTATATTGATTTCACATCCGAAATTCATTTACCTTGCTACCACCCTCTTGTCTTATATTTGTACATGTATTTAAGTCTATGCTATGTAATCTGGTTGACTTTGTGCAATTTGTTCTAGTTTGTATAGATTCTATTTGTGTCTTTTGTGACTTAAAAGCCTGACGAGCTCTGGAGTTGGATTAATTTATTCCTATGCAAATTTAGTGTTATAGAAAGTCTAAGAAAGGTGGCTGTGCCTTGATTAATTAAAATCACACATGTAGTTTGTTCTAATTCATGGTAGGATGGTGGTGCTCCAAGTACCTTTTCTAATTTCATTGATGGAAGCGGCTTTAATGTGCCATTCTCATGCTGATTCTGATTGTGTAATGAGTTTCACTAATTTTTTCTGCTCTCCAGAAACTTTCTAAATACTAAGTAATTATTATAAAAGATATGATTAGTATAGAAGGCAAGGGAAAAGAATCACCATTTACAGTGTTTGTTTTCCTGGTCTTATTTTAAAAAATTATGTTGCTGGTGCAAGACTCTTAAAAGGGGCTATATTTAATAAAACATTCTCCTTGCCAACAAACATTAAAACAAGTTGCTTTTATTTCTGTAAGGAATCTTCTATGACAATCTCATAGTCCAGACTGTCCATTCTTTGTTTGGTAAATTTATCATGCATATTTTTTTTCTGTATAGTTTTCTATTGTCACTTATCCTCAGTATTGTATGTGCTTAAATCAATAGTTGTGCTTTCATACGGCCTGCTTTATATTTAGCTCTTGTCGTTTTCTCTTTATAAATTCATCCAGCTTTTGAGGTGAAGTTCTTGAAGGAATTACATTCAGTTGTTTTTTATTATTTTGTTCATGCTTTTAATTTATTACAACCTGTATATCATTTTAAAATTTCTGATGTTCTGCAAGTCTGAAGAATTGGTTCCCAATTAAGTTTTCTACCTACAAGCATATTGTGAAAAGTATTTTATAAGGCCTGGGTTGACTTGTCATTCTTGTCCTATTATTTTCTATAGATATGCTTTTCATTACATCTTATTTTTTAGTTTTATCCCTTGTATTTAAAAAAAATATTTGTTAATTCAACAGGGATGAAGTAGCTGTTGAGGAGAATGAGGCTGAAACAACAGAGCCCATTGTTGCAAAGACAGTGGATGATGTGAAAGCTAAGAAAGATGAGGTGGGTTGGTTTCATCTTCATTTGTTTAAGGATTGTCTATGTAATGGTTATGATTATTCCTTTATGCTTATTCCTCTTGAAGTATGGACAGTAATTTGTGTTTTATTTTCTAGGCTGAAGCTGATGCAGAAGAGCAAACAGAGGAAACATCAAAAACAGAAGATTCAGAGGAAAATACAAATGAAAATGCCAGTTCAGAAGAGACAGAATCAAAAACAGGTGTGTAATACTTCATATTCTAGTTCATATTCTAATTTTAATAGTATTCATCTCTTAGTTTTTTTAATCACTTTGTGGTGTATACACATTTTTTGAGTTTTTAAAATTTAGTTGAAATGTCAATTCAGTCAGAACTGTTGTTTGGTTTTGTGACTTTATTGAGGATGCATTTGCTTTAAAACATGTTCTTAAACTTCCTTAGAAACAGAAGAAACCACAGCAGAGAAAAGATCTGTAGACGACAAAGAATCTGAAGATGGTGAAGATGAAAGTCCGAAGAAAAAAGTAAAGAAAGACAGTGAAACAGAGTCATCGAATGGCACCACAGAAGTGACTGAATCTGCCTAGTTTGCATTTTTAAATATTATTATTTGAACTTTTTTGTACCACACAAATGTAAAAATGTGTTTATCATCATGTTCAGGTGAATTTTGAGATATTTATAGTCAGGTTGTATACTTCATCATGGTTCTCATTGTTTGTGACGTTCTTGTAATAAACATCTTAATGTAACTTACCTCATGGGTTTAGTAATTTTTTGTTTTATTATATGGATAATAATATAGCTGGTGTTGTGTTAAATAGTTAATATACATAGTGGCTCTTTCATTAACCAGTATACTAAAGTTAATTCAGCTGAGGAATGATTTTGTTAGTACACTATTTTCTCCAGCTAGCCCTTTTCTCCCCAAACATGTTTCTGTGCATGTGTAGTTACTTTAAAGAATGATTCCTTTACCTAATATTAATGGTGCAGAAGTTGTCATTTTCTAGGATGCTGATACTTTATGACATTTAGGTACAGGTACAATTAAAACGAACTTCACATCATTAATGTCCTGAATCTTGCAATAACTCAGATGTTTAGTACCGGTACCATCCTGTAGTGCATATGCAATGAAACCCCACCGGCCAAATGGTCAGTCAGATCCATATCATATGAATCCAAGTTCTAACCCAGTAGTAATATGAACTTGGCATTCCTGGCTAATTAATATGAATTTTTTTGGACTGGATAAAAGTTCAATAATGCTATTTACTAATGTAACTTTCCTATTTTGCTCCTCTTAATTATAAAGGTATGGAGTAAAATTCTGAATTCTTTAGCATACTAATTCATACTATTGTTTACCTTGAGTAAGCAAAAACACCCACCTTTCACATGATAAAATTTAATCAATAAAGAATTTAAACAATTATGGTACATTGAAGTTGAAGACATTTGGCAAATGATTGAGATTCACCAATAATTTAATAATATGAATTTAACACTATAAAATGCTGGAATTACTTACTGATACTGGATCAAAATCAAGTGCCTGCACCTGCTGCAGCAGTAGACGACCCTAAGGATGAACAAAAGTAAAGCAAAGGTGTTAAAGTTAAAGGCATTTTTAAGTACCACCTGGCCCAGCTGAAATTAATAGACCGGTACTTGGGAACTGAATACAATTAAACACTAAAGTCTTACATAGCGGTATCTATCACTCGGATACAGGTATTGCTGTAAATAAATAAGTGGTAAGTAAAACAAGGAAAGAACACTGGTATGTAATAACACTAAGACGCATGAATCTAAAAGTAGTAACGGTACAAGTACAGGGAAAAAAAAGTTGTCAAGAAAGCAGACGAAAAGACGAGGCTTACAAATATTACAATCTTACAAAGTACCGGTAGTAGTAGTAGAAGCGGTCCCTTCTAGTACTAGTCCTACTATTATATTAATAATTAAACTTAAAAAATCGTAGACATTGAAACTAAGCCGTCACTTGGAATGTCTTTTGGTACCGGTATATCGCTTCCATTTTCTATTGCGTATATTATATGAATTTTAAAAAGCAATATTTCCAACCGTATCCCTATAACTATAAGTACTATAAGTAATTTGTACAAGTATATTCCTGTTGGGTGCCGTCCATTTTCATATTCTTAAATTTGATCTCAATGATGCACTTGCACTACTATTTTCAACTATTTGAGTGTACCGTAGTAGTAGGCTTTACCGTAGGGTGCCCAAATCATGAACTGGAAAAAACGGGACACACCCAAGGAGGGTAGGGGGCGGGTACTCCGGGGTACCCTCCAGCTATAGAGGAGTCCTCTTCTGGAAACTGTTTATTGAAATATGCTCATTTTGAGACCTAGACCTTTCCTTTTGCAATTTAATTTAAACTCCGAGGCATGTCGTAAATGAAAACAATAATTTTGCAGTGAATACTTATAACTTATACTTATATTATATATATACCGGTATTTTACAACATAATCCAACGCCAACACGACAAATTAAATTTCTGCATTCTGGGATTTGAATTGAGAATGTTGTCCCAGCCATTGTAAAACCTCATTCTTATTTAAAATGTGTTTGGTTTATAAATGGGACATTTAGTACGGAACCGGTAGTTAGTAATTTTATTTGTACCAGTACGGCAATGTTGGTAATGCCATGCGTTACGCTACCTGCAGTGTAAATGTCTAATAAAAATTTACCGTAGGTATATAATATTATATAACATATATATATATATATATAATATATATATATTTAATTTTAAGGGGGGAAACACCGGGGATATTTTTTATTCAATTTAGTTTGCTTGAAATAAATGTTACTTCCCTTGCACCGGTATTGTCTATTTTTGTCCCGTTAAATGGTTTGCCTTTTAACTTTTAAATCCCGCGCCACCCATCGATTGAAAAAATTAATAATAATTCCCGCAACCCTAAGATAATAAAAATACAAATAAGCTTGACTAAAGGCGTTCTCCATGTTATTGCGACTGCGAGACGTGGTGACATCCAGGCATGGGCGTAGCTATGGTTAATGCCACTCGGGGGGGGGGGGGGTGGTGCGGACATTTTTGCCTACACCCCCCACGAAAAAAAATTCTGCTTTAGGTCGAAAAAGACACCAAAAAAGTGATAAACGGGGTGGGGAGCCCCCTCTGAACCCCTTCCTACGCCCCTACACCCAGGGCATTGGTTCTGGTTGGCAACGTAGTAAAAGTTCAACCGCCAATTTGCGACCACAATCCTCCGCCTTTCCCCCACCACAAACAAGTCATCATTTTAAAAAAAAAATTTTTAGGGGTGGGGGGGTTTGGAAAATGTTGACATTAAATAAGGGGAGGGGTCATTGAAAGTTTGACAGTGTTGGCAAGGGGGGTGGGGGGCGTCAAAATTGCTTAAAATGGTTGACGTACTTAATGGACGCCACATAACCCTACCATAAGCCTAACATTACCCTAAGCCTAACCCTACCCTAACTCTAACTCTAAGCTAATCCTACTCTCCAATTAACCCTAAGTCTAACCATATTCTAAGCCTAACACTAACCCTACCCTAAGCCTAACTGTAATATGTTAACCCTAATCCTAACCCTCTCACCTAAGCCCAACGCTAACTCTACCTGTACCCTAAGCTTAACCATACTATAAGCCTAACCCTAAACTAAGTGTAAACCTTATCCTAACCCCAATAAACATAACCATAACTTAAGCCTAACCCACCTTAAGCTAAACCCTACCCTAAGGGGCCATCCATAAATGACGTCACGCAAATTTGGCCCATTTTTGACCCCCCTCCCCCATCGTGTGTTTTTCAATCTGGGGGGGGGAGTTTATATTGCAGTGATTAGAGTGCACCCCCCCCCCCTTTTTGCCCCCATAAAAAGTCCCCTGTGTCCACTACTGTCCTTTACAAACCCTTGAGAAATTCACCTCCCGTGGATATCCAATTACTGCACCCTTGTCAGAAACATTTCACTAGATCAGTGGTTCTTAAACCAAGGGAACAAGTACCTCCCCAGCCTTGAGGTGTGGAAGACAAAAAAATTTGTTTTCAGTGGCCTAGCTAGGGGGAGTTGCGGACCGCACCGGCCGACACCCTCTCAGGAGGTGACACCAAAGTGAAAAATTGCGTCATTACAGAGCACACACTGATCGGTCTAACCGAAATTCATAAAAGGATAACAGATGACACGTACACTTTCCACCCGTGTAACCAATCAAAATGCGTTTTTTTCGTTAATATTAAAATTTCAAGGTTGATGCGTCAGCAAATAGGTTACCTTATTAGGTCAGAAAAACACCGTTTTGACAATGTTTCAACGCCGCCGAATGAAGTGGTCGGTGACTTTAGTAAGTGGCAGGAAGCTATTTTTATCTAAATTCTGAGAAATACAACTATCCTTTGATAACCATGGGCGATTCAAAGAACGTTGAAGTTCTTAAATACATTTAGCCCCAGACCTTCAATTAATTTGTTTTTTTTTCTTGTATTTCTTATACTTTGGACTAAGTTTAACAAGAAGAAATACATCGTAGAAAAAAAAA